GAAAAACTTGTTTTTCAAGTGGGAATGGTGATGTTTTGTCCCCCAGAGTTGTGGAAGAAATTTATTAATTGATCTACACTGTGGGATCAAGGAAAATACTAAACATTGAATCAGGAAAACACTAAAATTCCAGGTTATTATTATCCTTATTGCCATCTGTGAGGATTTTAAACACGACTTTTTAACATCACTGGCTTAAAAATATAATTTGAATACTACAGAAATGAAAATTTAGAAAAGCCCTATCAAGGGAGAGGTTAAAAGAGAAATAAAAATAATGGGCTTCATGTTAGCTAAGGCTGGAATATGGAGGTTTTTCCTTGAAATTATTTCTAGTAAATGGGAGAATAATAAAATAATCATCAGAGAAAAAGGGAGAATAATAAAATAATCATCAAATTTCCTCTTGTTTTTGAGACAGCCTTGAAATTGATAAAAAAAACTGCCTTGAGCCTCTTGGTATCTGTTATTTTATTGAGTTTATCACAAGAACTGGTACAAGGTTGTGGCAAGGCCACAAAGAAAGGAACATTCCAGRGCTCCTTCCTGCAGGAATCTTTGGATTGGGGAGAAATCARCATTTCTGGARYTGTTTGCAGGATGCTTTCCCCAAASCAAACCCRTTTTCCTTCCTCTTCCCAGCTGGATTTCTGGATYAACCCCTCAGCCTCTGCTGTCCCTGTGGATGTGAGAATTCCTGCTGCCAGTGTYCAGTCAGTCAAAGCCTTCCTGGAATCCCAGGGGATTGAATATTCCATCCTGATTGAAGACCTGCAGGTGGGCAATGCCATTGGCACCTGRTTTTTAGATCTTTTGGAAAGTCTGATTCACAATTTGGCCTCGTTCCACTTTTCCATTCTCTGCTTTCCATGGGATCCTCCCCTTATTTTTGTAGGTTTTGGATTAATTTCTCAGAGACAATCCATGGATTGCTGCARGTTTTCTCTGAGCAGTGACATCAATAAACTCCATGGGGCTCTTCTGATAAACCCTGAGGAATTCCACGTGGCTTTTTGGCCCCAGGCATTTGGGAATCTTGACTTTAAATTTCCTGATCATTCAGTAAACTCTGAGTTTAGTTAAGCATAAAAATCACCCACTCAGGCATTAAGCTGACATTTTATTATGAGCAGTAATCCCAAAAGGGCATCTAAACCAGTATTAACTCACCACATTTGATTTTTTAATGGTTTTTTTTTCACATTTCTCCCCATTTGAATGTTCTTTTAGGATGTCCTGGATAAAGAAAAGGAAGATATGGCCGARAGTGCCCAAAGGCAGCGCAGCAGCGGCTTTGACTTTGGCACTTACCACACTCTGGATGATGTGAGTACCTCARGGGGAGAGAATTCTTCTTTTTAGAGTCTTTTTGATGCTGTTTTCAATTAAATATCCTGTATTAGGGTTTAAAATGTCCTTGCAGCTTCTTCTGGTGGGTTTGGTTTTTGC